CTCAAGGGTGATTAGAAATGAACAATAAATACTGGCCTTAACCAGCACTGTGACCAGATCCCAGGCAAATTGAACCTCAATTCATCACAGTTCCAGACAGCATACCCCAAACCATTAAGTTCCTAGGTGAGGAGGAATGAAATTTCTCTCCTTTATTCACACAACCTCTCAGCTGGTTGCAACAGGATTAATTTAGAAAGGGATCCCTTCTTTCCTGGATACATTTTGCCCAGGCCCAAATGCATTGTTAGTTTAAAAAGAGGTAAATTAACCAAGCATTCATGAGTTAATAAAGTGTGAGTTTATTATTTAATAAAACATAAGAAGAATTAGTAACACAAACACATATACACACAGATTAGAAACAAGAAATGAACATAAATTTGAAAACAAAGTTAGATTTTTTTTGCAGGGAGCAGGTAGTTGAACCTCCACTGCAATGGCTGCAAGGTTAAAAGTCGATTGGTTGAAGTTTTATCATTCTGATTCCTCTTGATCATGCTTAAATTTCAGCATTCAGGATAAAACAAGTCCTGTTGTTTTCTGGTTTCCTTTTATTCAGCTTGCAGCAGTCTGTAGTCTTTACCTGCAGAGGGGTAACTTGGGCAGTGTTCTTTGACTGCGACCTTCACAGCATGCCAACATTTGAACTCAGGCTGTAGATATGAACATTCACGAGTATACACCTGTAGAGTTACGTGGCTTTTCAAACCCTCGTTCTTGTGCATTCTTCAAAAAGGGAAAAACACAATGTATCTGCAGTGTGGGACATAATCTGGAGGGGGTGACTTGTTGTTGAGCTGCATGCCACAGACATTTATAACCTTTGAACTGTGGCCTCATGTCTACATCTTTCCTCAATCTCCCCCACCTCCCTTTTGAAGGTTGTTTGAAGTTCCCTTTGTATCATATGTGTCACACTCTCCCCAGATAGCCCCTTGATTTACATCTATAGCCGTCTTTGGTCACACCAGCCTGTTTTAAAAAACATATTTTGTAATTAAAGGCTATAAGCACTTGTAGTATTTCAGGTTTCTGAACTATTGCTGTGACACCAGTGATGCACCACATCCAAAAGAAAAGAGACACAGTGCTATCTGGCATAGAACTTAGATTAAATCACACGTGGGAGTACTGCATGCATTACTATTTTGCAAAAATGATGTTGAAGCATTGGAGAAAGTGCAGAAATGATATACAACATGTTACCAATATTGAGAAGTTGCCAACATAAAGATTCAATAGGCAAAACACTTTGAGAAAAGAGATGAACAATTAACCAACAGAGGATTTAAAAATTCTGGAAAAGGTTCAAGAGGGAGAAGGAAAAAAACATATCCACTAGTTGGTCAGCTCAGAACATGGCAGTATATGAAAAAATTGTTGCTAAAAAAAAATAAAGAAGTTAGGAGGGCTTTATTTAAGAGTCTGGTGAAAACATGAAACTGACTGCCCACAAGTTGTTGAAGTCGATGGCATTGATACGTTTAAAGGTAGGCTTGATGCATATGAGGGAAAAGTGAATCGAGGGATACAAGAACAGATGGGAAGAGGTTATTATAGCAGAAGACTCACCTGGCTTACCAGCATAAACGTAGTTGACCCAATGGCCAGTTTGTGTTGTACATCCAATACAAATACGTTATTGAAATGTCTTGCATAATCAGTGCTGGTGTAATCACTTCTGTGTTCCTAATTATTTGTATGTTTGCTTTGTGAAAAATTGACATTTTAGTTCTGTTGAGTCGACAGCCTCCCTTTGGTTTCCAAGAACTCAAAACGGCAAATTACTGATTTGCTATTTGAGTTTTAGAAACATTTCTCCATTTTATAAATCTCTAGACCCATATGTAATAAAAGCAATTCATCTTCAGGGAATGTGAAAAAATAAATGTTTGATTGTACTGTCAATAGCTTCATAAAAATGTTGGGTAGCCTTTTTATCATTCACTGAAAGTCAACATATATGGAGCTTCATAACTCTACTGGGAGTCTGATTCTTCCACCTTGGTGTTAAGATCTGAATCTCTTTGAGCATATGCCCTTTCAAGTAAAATTAATCAATCTCTTTATCACATCAGCAACATCTGAAGCGGCAATCATTATGACACTGCTGAGAACAAAATGAAAGTGCTGATCACAGAGGGAGTCTGGTTTTAAGATGTGCACAAGCAAAGTTTCATTACATTCTAATTTCAACTACAATTCCATGCAACCAGGCAACTAGCTTTGTAGTGCTTTGAAACTGGAATTAGTTATTTGAGAGGTATATCAATTTATTTTGATGCCACAGATAAGCAACAAGCCAAAATATTAATAATATACAAGAAAAGCAGAGAATCACCCAATATATCAGCTTTATAAGCCTGACATTGTCACACTCATTCTTGAATACAATTTCAACAGGAAAACAAGTTATAGCTGATACTTGTGGAAACTTACACACTTTGCTGCAAATCTCTTCATGAGAGAAGAAGAGTGCAATAAAGAAAAGCTGTTCAGAAATATTTCATGTCAAATAATTAAACAATAATGTGAAAAAAATGTAAAGGATTGATTTACCATTTCCAATAAACTTTTGGTGTTAAATTCCCTTGAGAAACAAGAAATCCTATTGATCCAAGCACATTCATAATAAAAACAAGCTTTCACAGCAAAACAGGAAATTCAAACTCTACTACACCTCAACACATGCTCGTTAATGTATAATCCTTCAGCCTTCATAATTCTGCAGAAAATCCATGACATTTTATATTAATCATTCACTTTCACAAGATTCCACAAACAATCTTTTTCTATCTATTTCATTGTATTGATCATTTTATGTAATTACATGCTCAGGTTTTAATAATGTGGCCTTACACAATAGTAAGTCTCTTTGTAAGGTAATGGATCTCCAATATCGTTAGTGGTGATAAAAGCAGTTTACATATCGATCAGCTTGTCAAATTGGAAAGTAAGTGAATTTTAAGTAACATAGTTAGATCAAATATAGTCCCTCAGCAGATTGTGGAAATACAGAAAGGAAGCTCACAGGGCCCTTGTGGTGCTGTGGCAACATTTCTATCTCTGGATCAGAAGACAAAAGTTAAAGTCTCACCTGCTCCAGAGGCACATCATTGCATATCTGAACAGGTCCATTAAGAAATGCCTAGGAAGGACAGTCAATTTTTTTTTTCCCCATAGAAGTTTTGTACTTACACCTGAGATCAATTTTTAAATAGATTTCTCTTCTTGTAATAAAATTAAACATTTTTTAAAAAGTAGCATAGAACTGACAGGGACTAACAATGTTTCTTTCCGATGGATGAAACCAGTTTTTTTAAAGGCAATTAACAAGCTAAGAGGTTCCAGGGGACACAGAATTTTCAAAAGTAAACTTTCAATGTGTAATTTCTTAATTTATCTTTTATGGCAATCATTTTGGCAGTACAACACTGGAAAAGAATTGCATTTTTAATTTGGTTCTGTAACGAAACCCATTTATCATTGCATCTTTGCCTTTCAGTCACATTTTGAGTTTTCTGCATTCTTCCCAAAGGTATCTCTCCCATTGCAGTTACACAGTTTCCAGAGCTTCCTTTGATTTTTTTTTCATATTTTATGTATCTTTTTACTGTCACCCACCTTTAAATCAGTGCTTATTCCCCCTTTATTTCTACTTAATCTGTGTTTAAATATGTCCCACTGATTTACAACTGTGATTCTAACCCTCAGCCCCCAACTATCTCTAATCAATTTGCTTTAAAATTTTTCTTTCACTGATTCTAAAACATTCTCAACAGGAAATGTCAATATTATTCAATCTCAAACTAAGCTTTAAAGCTAGTTTGCTATCCATCACAAAAATCATTTATTTCTACCTCCATAACACCACCTTTGTCTCAACTTGCATCTGTAACACATCCTTTATTCTACTAATTTTAGCATCTGCTTCTAACCTATTTTTCCTAATCAACCTGTTTAGAGATGTTAAGTACACCTCTGGAGCAGGTGGGGCTTGAACATGGGCCTGCAGGTCCATGCATAGTGACATGACCACTGCACCACAAGAGGGCCCTAACCTCTGTTTCTATTTGTTTTACAATTCATGGTAGAATCCTCAGCTCTCAACCCTATTCCAGAATGCCTCATCTCCTTTTCTTCATGAATATGTGAGTTTTCTTAAAACATAAATTTCTTTTACATCATCTTATCCCAAACTTTCAGTGATTTATCCCAGTTCTTTACGACTATTAGCTGTGAAATACCTTTGACTATTTTATACATTAAAGTTACATATAGATAGTTATCAGTGTCAGTGGTCATTGATAAGAACCTGGATAAAAACAAGAAATAATTTTCACAACTTAAAAACAGGAATTTATCCTCAAGCAGATGCACAGGACATAAACTTAAATTACATACTATAATCTAATATCGCTTGAACAAGCAGACTTATCACCAGAAATCTCAAAATAGATATTTTCTAATTAACCTCTCCATATTTGTTACTAAACAACTCTAGAGCACGTGTGTACTTGAAACCAAACCTCTCATCTGAGAGGCAGGGGATGTTAAGAAAACCCAAAATAGATTATTGCATTCATCATTGATTTGTTGTTAGAAAACCAATCTCACCGGTTGTCATTCATTGTCAATTAACACATGGAACTGCTGATAATTCTTTAGTTAATAAACTCATTACAAGAGTTTAAAAACCTAACATGACTGTCAAAGTCTGTTACATGGAAATATGTATTACTTGTTTAGATTAATTTCAAAAAATCTGCATTAATAAATACACTGCAGAGTGTGTTGTCAACAAAATGCAGTTATTATCAGAAACAGTTGTGTTTATTTCAGTTGATTACAACATTTCATAACAGAGGTAGCATGCAGGAGTCATAAGATCTCTAAAGCGTATATAAATAAACTAGTCACAGTATTATGAAGTATGCCCATATTATAGTGAAAGGATCTTATCAGACTCTATATTTTGGATAATTTTCTAATTTTACCTGTTGTCCAAATGTACTGTGCTTCTTTAGGTGCCTCAGTATTAGCTTGTGTTTGTAGAAAAATGAAGATCCAAAACATTATGGATTTTCTCAAATTCTGCCGCATCCATCCCACCAGGCCAAATTCATCTCTCAAGCTCATAGTCTGGAGAATTTCGTCTTACCACTTCAGTTTCTGGAGACCAAACAACATGCTTGATGATTCACCTATTGCAACATTTTACCTTGGTTTTCCAGTGCATTAATAAACATTCATTTTTGCTAATAAAAAATACTTAAAGAAAAGTCCATACAAGATAACAAGAAGATCATCATTTGGCCCATCATAACTCATCCCGTCTTGAAAAATCTAATTCCCATCTCAAACAGATTCCAAGTTTCTTGTCTAAATTCTGCTACCCATATACAGAAGGGAGCAACCACGAAGATCAAATTAATATAATAACATAAGGAAAATTTTTGTAAATTGGGCATCTTTTGTTGAGCAAGATAAAAGTGACATGATTTCTCTCCTTAGGGTTACAAAAGGCTGTATAATATAGACCATGACTCGTTATATCACCTTGTCCAAAAGACCAGAAGAGGATGCCTGTGACTTGAATGGGGAAAATACAAAACCTATTTATTTCAGTGAGTAAATAGTTAAACGACAGATCAGGATCCTACAGAAGATGATGGAAGCTATTATTATTGATTTATTTAAGCAAGAATTTATACATATATGAGATCAAATTGCTGACATAGTATATCAACACTTTGAAACAAGATGTGGATATTTAACATATGTGTTGTTGTTGTGGGCATTTGACATATGTGGGAGATGTATGTTAATTTTTTGGAGTTATGTTTCTCCAAACACTCCACTATTAACGGATCTCGCTTCAGTCTATAGTAGACTATATTTTACTGATTGACGGTTCTAATTAATCAATAATCCCTTTATCTTCATATCACTTAAACTAACAGGTGGTAGGAGACTGTTTGGATGAACCTTAGCCTCTTTTTGACCTACAGCATTTTATATATTCTTACCAAATCAATGTCTATTAATCAGCATGAAACATTTATTTGCATTTCATGTTTGGATTCTAAAGCCCAACCGTGGAGATTCAGTTGGTTTAAATAGTGCAAACTTTTCTTGAAAGTTGGATGAAGCTGACACTGACCTATGATGCCAGAGTTCATTGTCTTTTAGCACTAGAAACTAGCACAAGAAGTTATGATTTCTTATACATTTCATCAGATTAAAGCAGTTTGTAATTAACTGAAGAACAACTTAGAAGGAGTCAGTGATTTGATGGACTGATTGCTTATTACCTTGGTAAGTGTAACCAGGAAATGCCACCACAGTGTGGGATGAAGTTGATCCAGAAATATCTGTAACACCAAGTGTGGTGGCAAATTACTGACGAAAGTTTGAAACAGATGAACAATGTTGAAACAGGACTTAATTCCAGAGTTTCAATAAAGAAGTGGAAGCTCCAACGGATAATTGTAGCTTACTGTGGAAATTTAGAGGTCAGTTTAACACAATCAGAATGGTTTTATGCTGCAGATGGGAATCTTGGTCAGTTACTGAACAAAAATGACTGCTTTAGATGATTATGTATCATAATCAATTCTTGTAACATATTTCCAATTGCTGGGTACGTTGTGTTGTTCATTGGCATTCCCACCAAACATGGAAAAGCTATTCATGGACAAGATGGGCTTCTGTAGTGTATCAATGCTATGGTCCTATGGTTCTGTTAAATCTGTTTTGAAGTTGAAATATGGCATTGAGCGTGTTGGATGATGTCCTATCTGGCTATGTCTGACGTACGTTATCTCACAGAATCACGCGCTTGTCAGCTCATTACCTCAGCAAGAACAATGTTTGCTCAGGGTGCTCAGTAAATTGCACAGTGAGTGAGGCTGGAGATTCCCACCAGGTAGGATTTTCTGAAGTCAAATGACCTGGCACCGCATTGAAAGGCCAGCAGGATACCACTTCAAATGTTGCAAGCCAGGAAATTCCCCTCAGTTCAGAAGTGCAAGAAGTCCAAGATGGCTCCAATGTTTGCTGATTCTACCCTCTGGAAACTGCTGGGTGATGAGACTGAAATAAGATCCATCCTCTTCCTAGGTGACTACATCTGGAGGCCATCCCACCAGACCTACCTACCTGGGGCAAGATCTAAGTGCCAACATCAGGAGTTTCATTTCAGGATACTCCAGAGGTGCACTACCCCTCCAACTTGCCCTTGTCTGTGAATCCATTGCCCCCAGTAACTCAAGCCTGTATCTGTCAGACAGCCTGGCCCTCTCAGCCAAAAGACTCGGAAGCACACCAGCCAAAGTCTTCAAAGTCGGCAGGGTGTACCAGTCAGCATGCTTCCTCCATCCCAACTGCAGATGCCAAGCCTGCACCAAGATGTCGTGCGAGGTGAAGGAACAAAAAATCCTTCTGAGGGCAGATCAGTGGCAGGGGCGTTCAATCATTGTACACAACATGGACTTTGGTTACGTATATTCATTTGCACTGTTCCAATGTTTGTTTCAGTTCTATTGGCCCAATAGGACTAGTTATCTGAAGTGAAAGATGTGGAGCATGCTCAGTCAGCAAAATTATGTGTGGCTCTTCAACCATCATGCCTTAGTACCTATCTCATAATCAGCAAAGTCGGTGATTGGTGGATAGGCTTGTAAGTTCATAAAACGTAGGAGCAGAAAGAGGCTACTTGACCCATTGGACCTGCTCCAATATTCAGTAAGGTCATGGCTGATCTTATCATCCTTAACTCCACTTCCTGCTTTTTCCTTGATTCTCTTAATGTTGAAAAAAGTCCATCAATCTCAACCTTGAATATGCTAAACAATCCAACTTTTACAGCCCTTCGTGTCAAGCATTCCACAGATTCACTACCCTCTGAGGGGAAAAAAATCCTTCTCATCTCTGTCTTAACTGGCTGCCCCTTATTCTGAGATCACACCCTCTGGTGCTGGATTGTCCCACAACGGGAAACAACTTTCCCCAACTATCCTGTCAATTAGCCAATGAATCTTATATGTTTCAGGAAGGCCGCCTCTCACTCTCTCACTGTTCTAAATTCCAATGAGTCCATCAGGGAATCTCACAACTATAAGTTTAAATTGCAGTCAAGATGCTTGAGATCACTGAGGATAGCACTGAGTTTGCAAGCAAGAGCTCAGGATGTCCATCGCGCACACACACACACACACACACGTGTACACAAACGCGCGCGCGCACACACACACACACACACACACACACACCCCATCATCATATACCCACCTAATTGGAGCAAAGGTAGAATCTAACATTTATCTACCGACAAGGATTTGTCCAATGTCTTGGGTTCTCAAAAATGTAGCAACGTTAAACTTACAATGGAGGGAATAGTTCGATGCATGGCAGCCCATAGTCATGGCATTGTCAATGAGTTGCAAGGATACTGTGAATGCTCATTAGAGTAAATAGTATTGACCAGGGAGTGGACTCCTTATGTGACTCATATCTCTTTGGCTCAGAACCAATTTAATGAAAACATCACTATAAACAAGGCAATTCAAGTGCTAACTGTATTACAGCTGTTTTAGAGCACATTGGTCCAAGCCAGGATTTGTACATGCACTGAAAATCTTACTATTGTATCTTACCATTGTTTGAAAGTAAAAACCAACATTTTATTGCAAACATAAATTAAATTGAAAAACAATTCAAGACTACAGGGAAAGTGCATCCTGCAAGCAGAGGGCTGGTAACCAACTGCACCATTGAAATAACAACAGAAACAGAGAAAGTCTCAACACAGCACAATCATCTTCGGCACTGGTGGCTATAAGGTTCTCTCTGGTTTCTTAAACTCAGTGTGGCATTGCCTGCTTATATGTTTGACTATCATCCTGGCCCATCTCAGGGTCCTCACACACATGTCCCACCTCAGTGGTTTCCTACCACTCCTGCATCTCTTCCTCACCCAAAACACAATCCTCATTGTGACTGAGATTGTGGGGGTGCGCAGCATACACAATGATGCAAGACACTCAATGGAATATACAGCATTGCAGCATTCGACTGGTCCAGGCATTGGAATGTCACATTCAGGAGGCCAATGATGTGTTCTACAGTGGTCATAGTTGAAGCATAGCAGTGTTGTATCTCTAATAAGCAGCGAGACTGAGGGATCTCCTCTGGATGTCATCAGGCATGTGAGAGATGGTATTCCTCATCATGTAGTAATCATCTTTGTATGAGCCGAGAGCATTTGAAAGAGGCTGGCATTGTGAATGGTCCAGCATGTATGAGGTGTGGCAGCTTCCTGGATATTTACTGCAAATCAGCGTCATATGCTGTTGGGGTCACAACATTTAAACATTAAGGAATGGAATTTTTTTCTGTTGATGGAGTCTGTTTGTTTATTGTAGAGCACTCTGACCGCAATTATATCCTGAACCTGCAAGAAAGCAGCAATGGCCAGAGGTCCAAGTGCTTGATTGGCCCCATCAAGAGGTTCAATGTGAACAAATGGGCTCTTGGGAAGAAAGCGTCAGTAACAGCTCAGATGTGGTTATGAGTTCAGCACTAGGACATTCCACAGAGGTCCCCAGTAGGTTCCTGAAGCTATCTGCTGGCAAAGGAATTAGGGGAGCTGTCACCATCAGGGATATGGAAAAGGGATTGCCACCCAATCCTTGCGATCACAGGTCCTCAACTACCTGCTGGTAAAGTGGGATATGAAGGTTTGAGACATCCAGACTCATTATCTGATTGATTGTTATTCTTTTGCTAATAGCTGCATTAAGCCTGTTGATGTTGTTCTGGTTGAGAGTCCTCCTTCAGTTTAGTAGCTCTTATCTTGCTGCTTCTCTCTTTGGAGGCTGTACAGTAGCTGGCAGCAGCTTTGTTGATGTTGCTGCAGATGGAGTTGGCTGTGCTTTCTGCTGCTGTGGTTCCTCAGCAGTAGTATGACCACAAGAAGCACTTCTGGATTGACTTCTGATATTTTATTTTTAACTTGCAGCAGATGTGTGAGAACAGTAAGTGAACGTACACGGTCTTAGAAAAAGGAACACTTTAACCACTGACATCCTTTCCTATAATCCTCCAGGTTGTGCTCTCACAGAGGATTACATCACTCCTCAGCAAGGTGCCAAACTGCAAATGTTTCCTTT